AAAGAAAGAAAGAAAGAAAGAAAGAAAGAAAGAAAGAAAGAAAGAAAGAAAGAAAGAAAGAAAGAAAGAAAGAAAGAATCAGTGAGTCTTTGCCAGCTTCCAGCCCTCACGACAACTGTGGGTACAATTAGCTGCATTCCAATTGAAGAAACTGAGGCTCAGAAAGGTTGAGGGCTGCCCATGGTCACAGCAGTTCACCGTGCAACTAAGATGCAAACCCAGTTGCTTCCCGCTCCTCCTCGGTCGCAAGGGGCTTCTCTGCACCTTGTGTGTGTCCCAGGCAGGCGCTCCCTCTCTTGGAGTTGGGTGTGGGGACAAGGGCATGGGCTCCATTTGGCACTGGGGCACCTTCAATCAGCCCCGCCCTGCCCCTCGCAGGTACGCCATTGACCGCGAATCAGATTTGGACCAGATCTTCGATATCGATGCGGACACAGGCGCCATCGTGACTGGCAAGGGGCTGGACCGCGAGACAGCCGGCTGGCACAACATCACGGTGCTGGCCATGGAGGCGGGTGAGCTGGGCGTCGCGCCCCCTCCAAGGGCAAATATGGGGCCGAGGAGCAAAAGCTGAGGGGAGGGGCCAAGGGCTGGGGGCAGAGCCGAGGCGGCACTGTCAGTCAAAGCCCACGGGGGAGGCGCCAAAGGTTGGGGGCGGGGCAAAGAAACTAGACAAAGATCTCACAGGGGTGAAGGTGAGGGCAAAAGCTGATGGGTGAGAGCAAAGATCCAGCGGGGTTCCAAGTCAAGCGGATAGGGCTAGTCTCAAGCTAGGCTTTCTTCTCTCATCATTTATTGAGCACCTGCTACATGCCAAGCCCTGTTTTAGGGGCTGGGGATCCAGCCTTGAACAAGACAGAAAAGGTCCTGTCCTCATAGAGAGAACGAGACTATCAACAAACAGACAGAAAGCACGGACATACTATGTCAAGTGTTGCTAAGTGCTAAGAAGAAACAAGGAAAGAAGGAGGCTGGGAAATGGAACTGGGAGGAGGAGGGGCATTGCTTCTCTTAGGGGAACATCTAAGAGATGAGGAAAAGACATTTCAACAAAGACCTCAAAAGGTGGGAAAGTCATGCTGACATCTGGAGGAAGAGCATTCCAAGCAGGGGGAACAGCCAGTGCAAAGGCCCTGCGGTGTAATTTGCCAAACATGTTGGAGGAACAGCAAAGAGGCCAGTGTGGTTGATGAGGGGCAGCATGGTCAGCCAGAGTCACTGGAGGGTCTTTGGACTTTACTCCAAATGAATTTGGAGTCATTGGAGGCGTTTGGAGACAGGAGGGATGTTCTCAGTCAGGGTACCTCTGGCAGCTGCATTGAGAAGAGCCTGGAGCCTGAGGGGAAAACGGGGGCTTAGCTAGAAGCCGAAAGCAATAGTGCTTAGGAGATAGCACCATGGCATGGCCCAGGGTAGTAGCTACAGAAGAGGTGAGAAGGAGGGGAGAAGTGGCTGGCTTTGGGATACGGGCTGAAGATAGAGCCAGTGGGACCTGCTCATGGGCTGATGTCCTGGGGAGAGATGGAGACGTGTCAAGGATGACTTCAGGGTGCTTGCCCTGAGTTTCTGGAAGAGTACGTGTACGTGTGTGTGTGTGTGTGCGCGCATGTGTGTGTGTCTGTCTGTCTGTTTGGTGCAGCTAGGGAGAAACGTGAGTTGGTAGAGAGAGAAAAAGAACCCTGAGACATGGCATCCAGGTAAGTAAGGCTGTGGAGGTGAGGAGCTGAGAGCACCGGGAGAGGGGCCAGGGGAAGTGCCTTCAGACTTCCTCCATGCCCAGAGCAACACTGCCACTGCCGTGGCCTCCACCTGATCTCCCAGCTTCTCTACCCCGTCAGCCCTCAAGGTCTCAGGCATCAACAGAGCCACCAGTAAGCAATCATGACAACAGGAATATAGTTGAGTCTCTGAGCTGCAGGTGGGTAGGCAACATTCAAACTTGCCTCTGCCCATCAGGACCCCAGGCCTCTCTGCCCCAGGCCTCTCCTGCCCCAAGCTCCTCCTGCCAGCCCTCTTCCTCCTCCCCTAGCTGCCATCCCCCCATTTCCCAGGCCCCACTGGCCCATTCTGGGGCCGAGGAAGTCCCTAGGCTGAAGTTCCCTTCGTCTCTTTCAACTGCAGTTTAAAAGGAAATACAAAGCTGGCTCAGACCTCAGTGCCTGCTGCTCTGGAGCCTTTGAATCCACTCCTCCACGGCATGAAAGGGAGATAACAAAGGTGGCTGGAGAGGAAGTGGCGGCTGGACTTGGGGGAAGAGAGCTCCCCCTCCTTGCCTCCTCAAACCTGCTCCCTGGGTAGCAACTGAGGCTCTGGGCTGCAGACGGAGCCAGGGAGGACTGGCCTGGATGCTGGGCAGGGATGCCTCCTCTCCCTACCCACAGATACACGCCCCCTCACCCCCCGCCACCAGCCTATCACCAGCCCAATGTCCCACCACCAGCAATAGTCTCCTCTTGGGTTAAGCATTGTGTTTCTACCCAGTGGGTCTCTTTCAGAAAGCAGCTAGAATAGCATACAAAGCCTGTAAGGCTGCCACTTCACAGGAGAGAGAATCAGGGGAGGGGTACTCCTCCACAAACATTTTACAATTTTTACTATATATATATATATATATAACCTGGCCTAGATGCTTTCTAGCACATACTTTATTGAATTATGATCTGTAGCATGATTAGCACCCATTTTCCTGA